CAAACGTTGCTTGCAACAATCAGGCAGCAATTGACAGCACTCTGATCTAGTGGCATACAGGCATCGTCAGATTGACAGTACTCTAGCCCAATAATATTGGGGGATCTAGTGGGGGCAGTCATATTTCAGGGTGACCGTGCCACTCTTTATCACAACCCTGCTAAAAGTGCCAGTACATGCGCTCATTGGCGCCCCTTCAGCTGGTGGCGCCCTAGGCGACCGCCTAGCTCGCCTATGCCTAGAAACGGCCCTGAATACACCACAAAGCTTCAATTGCAGTAAATTATTTGTATGTGCATACAGACGATGGCGGTGTTGAAGCTCTTTTATTTGCCGTCAAACGGTTCACCACTGCCGTGTGTGTATCCTGTCGCAAAATGTGGCGAAAAGTCCAACACGACGGTAATAATTTGATTAAGGTGTTTACATGTCTATACTGCACTTCAGTAATGCAACTAAAAGAGGAATACTCCACATGTCTTAATTAAATTTCTGTCTACTTCAAATATGACTTAAGCAGGATTAAGTTAATCAAAAATCTGTTTACATGGTAGATTCTCAGAGTATTGTCTTAATCGTGTTAAAATAAGATTGTTGTCCATGTAAACATACTCAATGTCTTTGAACACTCCGGGTAAAAGAGGTTAAAAGTTTGGTTCACCCAAATCTGTCATCAATTACTCACCCTCATGTCGTTCCAAACCCGCAAGTCTTTCGTTCATCATCAGAACACAAATGAAGATCGTTATAATGAAATCTCAGAGCTTTCTGTCGCTCCACTGATACTCCATGCAACTACCCCTTGCACAATAACATGCATTTCTGGGAAAAAGCATAGACACAATCATGTTTAACAGACAAATGTTAATAAATCTAAAAAGTATAAAGATAACAATGTGTTAATAACAAGGTAACATTTTAAAAGCAAATACAAATATTAGCCAAGTAAACAAGGAAACTAATGAAATGGTGTTACTACTCTTAAAATATGGCTTATTGATCTGGTACTTTGTTTTGTTTTTTTACTGAAAAACTCCGTGGCTTTAAATTCTGAAATGTAAAAGTCTTTAGCAAATAAACGGCACGTTTGAACAAATTACTATTAGTAAAAAAAAACAAAAAAAAAAAACAGGCCAATTAAGGTCTAACAGTATTCAGGTAAATAATAGCCTACAAAAGAAACAGAATAAATGAACCAAATGTAAATAACCTTTAATGCACATTAAAGCTACTAAAGTCATTCATACAAGAGCAGAGAGTGAAGTTTTTCATTTTATTTTACTGTTTGATGATCAGTAATGACAACTGAGCATTATATATACATTATATAACACTCATAAGCAGAATGATATAATTTATTAGCAAAAAGACATACAAGAATAAAAAATTGTGACATTGTTCTTTGGAGAGGAACTCCCATCTTTGAGTTGATCTGAATCTCACAGTTGAATCTGCTGGTTTTGATATTTTACTGCTTGATGCATTATCGTGTCTCATTTGGTGAAGACACAGCATCAGATGTGAAAGTGCTGGATCTGAAGATGATCTACTTTCCATGAAGGAAGTACATTGATCTTCAAATTATCATTTTTAAAACATTATAGACACAAATCCCATGTTTCTTTAGGGAAAAATATTAAATATGTTGGATCAGCTACACTGTTATCTAACAGAAATTTTGTTGATGAATGAAGAATAAACACCAACCTATTTGTTCTCCAGTATCTTCAGTGTGTTTGGTTCTGCAGGGTTCTGGATCTCTCATCTTCTCTCTGTCCTCTTTAATAAACTCAGTCTTTGCAGATTTCAGCTATGCTCATTCAATAACACTGCACTCACATATGTGGCAATTCACACATTCAATGCATTTCTGTTGTCTGTCTTTCTAGTGTCAACATTTCTATTGATGTTTTAGCAGAAAGTGTGTAGAAAGTGAAACCTACAGTAGCCTACCACAAAACAGAATTTTAATGTTTCCTGTGTATATAGGCTATTATAAATATATTAATATGTATAGACTTAAAATGTCCCACGTGACACAATATGAAATATTAAGCAGTATCTATACTTAATTTTAACCATGTAACGCGTGGTAAGTTTTAGGTTCAATATTCATCGGATATCCTTTCCCCTACCCTTGTTCCATAGAGTTGACAGTCTTACAAAGATATCAATACCACACTTAGTTTTAACAATATGCAGTTATTTTATATTGACATGAAACATTCAATCAAAACCGCTAAGGCGCATTATCTGCATATTTATACCTAAGAATGCTTTGATTAGATGCAGTTTACTTTTTCTTTTTTTTTGACTGTGGCTGGAATTTGTAGACGGTCCCTTAAGCGACATGCGTTGTTATCCAGCGAATATCAAACCTAAAACTAAATTTAACGCAAAACGACTAATTTGAAATGCCTAAAATACAGCGGGTGGAAAAAAAATAGCAGCAGCAATAATACTGATATCGGTTCGTACTCCATTTCCCTTACGAGCCATTCAGTAACAGCAGCATCCCTCCAAACAACAGTCATTCAGACGAACATACAAAACCACAAAATCTCTCAGGTCTTCCCTCACATGCCTGTTGTCTGCTGTTATAAGTGTTTATGTCAGCAAACACACAAACAGAGATGTACTCGATGAAAACAAGGCAGAAACGACCTCATGTATTGTTGCATGAACAAACTGTGTAAAATGTGTTTCATGTTTGAAATGCCGTGAATTGCTCACCTCTCCTCATTAGACTCAACGCTGCGTCCGAAAGCTTTGCTGACTCGC